TTGGGATTCTTTCTCTCCCTCTCTCTCTGCCCCTCTCCTGCTCGCACATGCACTCTCTCTTTCTCAAGAAATAAACTTTAATGTATATAATTCAGTGGCTTCCAGTGCATTCACAATGTGTGCAATCATCACTACCACTTCTAGAACATTCCATCACCCCCGAAATAAACCCCATCCTCTTTATCAGCCAATTCCCATTCCCCTTCTCAGACCCAGGCAACCACCAATCACTTTCGGCCTGTATGAATTTGCCGTTTGTGGACACTTCACACAATATTTGTCCTTTGTGACTGGCTTTTTTCAGTTAGCATAATGTATTTGAGGTTTATCCATGTTGTAACATATGTCGGAACTTCATGCTTTTTTATGGATGAATAGCATTCCATGGTATGGATGTACCCTATTTTGTTTGTGTGCTCGTGTCCTGATGGACAACGGTTCTTCACACTTCTTGGCTATTATGAGTAACACTGCTGTGAACATGTGTATATCCATTCTCTCTGAAACCAGCTCTGCTCAGGCTTTTGTCCCCCATGGTGCCACGGCACCTGCCCTTCTCAAGGTGAACAATGACCTCTACAGTGCTAGATTGAATGGTCGATTCTCAGTCCTTATCTTACTTGACTTATCCAGAGTATCTAACACAGCTGATCACTCTTTCCTGTTTTACTTGGCTCCCAGGACATCCTACTCTCCTGCTTTTCCTGCTACTTCACTGGGCTGTCCTTCTTGGTCGCTTGCCGGTTTCTCTTCATATTCTCTGCTCTAAACGTTGGTGTGCTCCAGGTCTAGTCATCATCTTTTCTTCTTATCCCATCTCATGGCTTGAATACACTCTAACCACTGGTGGGTACCAAATGTGGATCTCCAAATTTGAAATCTCCAGCCTCTCCCCTCAGTTCTAGATGCATATAGCCAATTGTCTACTTGACATTTTCACTTGGATGTCTAAGGAAACATTATATCCCAAACTGAACTCCTGATCTCCTGCCCAGTATAATGTATTCCTTGCACACTCTTCCTCGTGTTGATAAATAGTCCAACATCCAGTTGCGCAGGCCAAAACCTTTGGAGTTCTCTCTAACCCTCTTTCTCTTCACTCCATATCCAATCTATCAGTAAGTCCTGCTAAATCTACCGTTAAGATATACTTAGCATTTTACCACGTATTGCTGCCTTCAGTCCCTGGTCTAAGTTGTCATCTTTTGCCTGGAGTATCGCAGACCCCTCCTCTCTCCACCACCGGGCTCCCCCGTTTCCACCAGACGGTCTGATGGATTCAATACAGACTGATTCTTTACAAATTAAGTCACATTACATCATTCCTTTACTTCAACCTCTCCAGTGGTTCTACATCTCACTTCAGAATAAAAGTCAAAGTCTTTACAGAGTACTACATAAAGTAGGCCTGGCCACTTCACCTGCAGCCAGTGTGACTGTAATGGAGTAAGAATAGCAAGTGCAAAGGCCCTGCAGCCTCTCTGACTGGAATGTTCTCTCTCTTCCCTCCTCCTAGATATCTATATGGCTTACTCCTTTATGTCCTACAGGGACTTACTGAAATGTCACCTTCTTAGTGAGGCCTTGTCTGACCACGCAGCCCAAAATAAAAACCCCTTTGGCCCCGTTCTCTTGATCTCCCTTACCCCGCTTTAGTTTTCCACAGGACTTTATCACCATCTGAACTTCTGTACATTTTATTGTCTCCCTCCAGCGTAATGTAAGCCCTACAAAGGTAGAGATTTTTAAAAAAACATTTAAGTAGGCTCCATGCCCAACGTGGGGTCAAACTCACAATCCTGAGATCAAGAGTTGCGTGCTCTATGGACTGAGCCAGCCAGGTGCCCCGAAGGTAGGAATTTTTATCTGTTTTGTTCACAGCTGTATCCCCAGCCCCAGGGGGATAGAGTACTTGATACTGACTGGCACTAATTAGGTGCTCCATAAATATTTGTTGAATAAACTGGTTACTTTTGGTTTTTCTCCCCTCTAGCTTTATCGAGGTATAATTGACAAAGAAATTGTATATATGTAAAGTGTACAATGTGATGAATCGATAACTCAGTGAATGAATGGTTGAGCTGTTATTTTGAAAAGTAGTTAATACTTCAGCCATTTCTTGTTGCTTGACCGAAGTCAACCATTAGCTTTCGAAACAGTTGTTTAATTTCAGGTGCGGTGGGATGTTGCATGAACTTTTGAAAAAGACATTCTCATTAGAAACTTTATCTTTCTTCAGGGTAGTGTATTTACAAATTTGGGCTCTTGAGACAGACTGTTGGGAGTTTGAATCCTGGACATCTGTGTGAACCAGGACAAGTTAACCGTTCTGTGCCTCAGTTTCCTCATCCATAAAATAGGCACACCAGGAGCACCTATCCCATGTTGTTATTCTGGGAATCAAGTAAAATGATGTACGGAAATCACCTAGCCTACTACTTGGCACATAGTAAAGGTTCAGTGAACAGGGGCTCTTATGACTCTTATTAAGATGTAAGAGAAATTTTTCAAAAAATAGAGTAAGACTTGCAACAGCAACAACTAAACACGTATTTCTAAGCGAAACTAAAACAGCTGTCCAGCTTTTTTGTATAAGTGGCATTTCTTTGGGAAACGATCCAAAATGTGAAGGCCAATTGTTTTGTCCCTTTCCTCTGGAGGCTTGCAGGAGATTGGACAAAGCCCTTTCACGATGCCTGCCTCCTCACAGAACAGTCACACCGGGAACCCCTCATACTTAACATTTCCACTTGTCACGCTTTTCGACTTTAATGCCATTGCGGACTCTGGGTTCAGATTCCATAGATGATCTTCACTCAGTGCACTGGTTAAAAATTCAGCAATTCCCTTTTGTGGAAAAGATGCTTGCCAAGGGCTGGCAGACTAGCTTTCTAAGTGAGTTGACCTGCAAACAAGGTTGTCCGTGCTTGAAAAGGCAAGGACAATGGTCTCCTTCCGTGTCGTGACACCTCCTAGAAGCTTGCTGTCAGACACACCCTGTGCTAATTCCCAGTTAAACAAAGCCATCCCAGGTCCAGTCTGTGAACGCTGCAACATGCCAGATTCTCTGACTCGTGCAGGGAAACCGAGGAAGCCCAGACCTGTACAGGGGTGTCTGGCTCCACATTTCAAAGAAGCAGGCATTGGAGTGCAGCCACTCCTGTTCAGCATTTGCCCTACATATTTCACACTTGCTTTCCAGGGTCTAGTTCTTATATTCTGACTTCTATTACCTCCCACAGCAGCTTATACTGACTTGGGCTTGGCTGGGCTGGGCACACGTTCATTTATTCGTTCATGAAACCCCACAGGGATCAATAAACACTAGTGAAGCCACACTGCTTCTTTGTTGCTTTCGAACTATTTTCTTAGTTTTGTTATTTAAATGAAATTCTACCTTGTTTTCCCGGCTATGCTGGAAATTTCTTGAGTACATGGACCTCTATCTCATTCCTGTCTCCTGCCGTGCCACACCTGCTTCTTCATTCAATCTATGTTTTTACTATTATGCTCTGCAAAACTGCTCTGGAGAAATGGGTTTGAACCCTAGGAGTTAGGTAAAATTTTCTCCGTGACTTTTGATTTTTTTTTTTTATTGTGGTTCTTACGAGAAAATAGCATGCAACCCCCGGCAATTACTAAGCCATTTCCCCACTATAATACCATTTCAAATAAAAGCTTAACAAAGCCTACGCTGAGAATGAGAAACTTACTCGTAAACGGTCGTCCATCCATTTTCATTACTTTTGGTGGCTAGAAGCCCCGTGTTTCCAGGATAGGTCATCACGGCCAGATTATAGCCTTGGGCTGACACTCTTTTCAGGACTCCATTGCTGCTTATGGTCAGCCAGTACACCTGCCCACCGGGCACCACAAGCCAAAGGGGGATCCCACCTGCGTCACGGCGAATGTGCACAGAATTGCCGTTGCTGCTGGTAACTGCACCTAAGTCACCTTCGGCATTGTAGGTGAAATTATATACATAGTCCCTTGTTATCAAGTTCAAGGTGTGCAGGTGGGTTCCATTGACAGTGAACTGGTAGAGCTCCTGGTCAGCAGGTGAAGCAATCTCATAAAGGTTCATGTCGTTCAGGTGGGCCTGGTTCCTGCTAATGGTACGAATTCGAACATTCCCAAGGTCTGCGACATAAAGGGTACCGTCGGGTGACACTGCTAAGGAGGAAGGGGCTTTCATCTTTGCATCTTTGGCATAGCCGCCATCACCTGTGAGAGAGAGACCGTGGTTTTAATAATCGTCATCGCAAGCATTTCTAAGAACACAGCCATAAAGAGAAATCGCTGTGCATCAGTAGTCATTTTAAAGGGAACAACCAGTGAACCAACACTCTCTGCATGCCCCTCCCTTGACAAATCTGAAACTTCCTCAGAATTCTTGAGTCAGTACCAGTGAAGACGAACAGTAAGATGCGATTCTCTCAGTTAACACTGGTTTTGTGACATCCTCTACCCTGCCGTTCAGTATCGTATCGCAAGATGCGAAAAAACAGCGGATAATGGGAGCCACACGAAATCTGGCTGGAAGTCCAGGCGATTCATGCGTGTCAGTGCTTGTGGACCTGCCTCAGGACTTTGCAATTCTACTGTGCCTAGAGGACCCTTCTTTGGCTCATGCCCATGGTCACATTGTCAAAGTACACTAAGTCTGTAAGTGCAGCAATTATTCAGAACATCAAATTTGATAACTGGAATAAACATCAGATTTGCCCTGAATGAAAAATATAAGTTAGCAAAATAACTATAAAACTAATTGTCCAGGAAAACATTGGAAATATTGATCCAAAGTCGTTACTGACCAAGTTGCTCACTCTTGATTCCTCTGGCCCAAGGAAAGGCAAAGGTTAAGAGAATGATTCGGGCCTGGGTGAGCAGTTTAACAGGACTGCAGGTAGCATGGAGGGATCGCCACATCCCAGCAATAAATGTATCGGTTGACATTTAGAGGACTGTTTGCTATCTGGAATATCTGCTCCATGTTTGGGGGAAAAGGCTCTTTTTTAAATATATTTCAGTTGGAAGTAAAGGGCACTACAGGTTAGGGAGAAAGGTTTGTTTTTTGGTTTGTTTGTTTTAAGCGATCAAAGTAGCAGAGTGATGTCCTGAGAAACATCCACTGTGGGAGTTTATTTTGCCCCTATGTCCTCCAAACAGCTTGTTCTACTCTCTTTGGGTTTCAAATAGCAAACACAGTTAATTTGGAAACCAGTCACTTAGGGGAAGTGAGTTTCACCTTGGGTAAATCAGTAAATTCAGGTTTTACCTACTTTCCTTTTCTCCAAAGTACAAACAGTGTTATGATCTTACATTCATATAGTGATCTTAACTTAACCATATCAAGATTTTGTTACACTAGTTTATCCTCAAGCCAGCAAGGTGATAAAACCGAGACAAGTGACCTCTTTAACAGATGAGGTAAGCGAGTCCCCAAGAGGTTTTGGGGCTTGCCCAGCATCACTTGGTCGGCTGGTTGCAGACCAACGACCAGACACTAGGCTTCGTAACCCCAACCCATCGCTTTCTCCACTCGCTTATCCCAGGGTCCACAGGCAACACTCTGTGTTTCCTTTTGACTCTTCTGATGCGCGTTTTTCTTTTGGAAACAGAGAGGGAGCTGGTGAATTGCTAAAAAGGTCATACCTGAGAAACAGTCACAGTTGGGGTCAATTTTGCAGTCACAGTCAGTGGGAGCACCGGCTATGATGGAGATCTCTCCATTGGTGGTGACCTGCTGAATGCGGTTCACTCTCCTCTCGTCCGTCTCGGCGATGAAAAGCAGCCCGCTGTGGGACACGCCGATGGCCCTAGCAGACTCCAGAGTGGAGTGAACTGCCACCTTGCTGACCAAGAAATGATCGATGCCTGGCACCTGGCAGTGAATGGGGCGCCCTGCGATGATCCGCACGCGCCTGTTCTCAGAGATTTGCAGCACAATGTTGTTATCCAAGACATACAATGAATTGTCCATGGGATTGACCGCAAGGTCTGTTGGCCACTCTAATCGCACCTGCGAAAAGAGCAGAACACACACTGTTAGGTTACAATTTCTTTCCAGGGGCAGTTTTACCTTAAAAGAAAAATTGGCTTATCGCTTCCCTATCTCGTGAATTTCAGCAACATTGGTCTGGCAAAGCTGAGGGAGGACGGTTGATCACATTTTCTGGGGAAACCTATTTATCATTTTTACTATTTTCAGCATAATGTAAATTCATTTTCAATAATTCCAGAAGGATCCTCTAGAGTAACGTTTTGCAGAATGTGGTCTCTGGACCAGCAGCAACAGCATCACCCGGGAACTTGTTAGAAATGTCAGTTCTCAGGCCCCAACCTAGACGTATCGAATGAGAACCTCTGGGGGTGGGAGCCCAGTCATCTGTGTTTTAGTAAGCCTTCCAGCATATTCTGCTGCACACTCAAGTTTGAGGACCAACGTTCTAGGGCTTCTGTGTCACTAGGATATACAGTTCTCTCTTACTATTCTGTAGATACATGGAAGAACAAAGTCATAGAGGCTTCTGGAAAACATGGTACTGGAGAAACTAGATTTTACTCTAACAGCAACCTTTGGGGACAGGACCTTCCGTTAGCACAGACATAGCATCCATCTTGTGGAACACTCAGGCACAATCTATCAGCTGGTGATATGGGATCCTAAGTTGTAATGTACTGCCATCTAGCTTGACCTGGTTCACTCCATCTGTCCCTTGCAAACGGGTTGATCTGTTCTTTCATTGAGTACTACCTTCTTTGGGCTAAGTCTTGTGGTAGGCTTTGGGAATTCAGAAGAATACTATGACACATCCTCTGCCCTCAAGTGACTCATGGTCTAGCAAAGCCCTTGGAAGGGTCATTAGGTATTGACTCTCCACGTTATGAGAAAGAAACAGCAGAGAGGGTATGAGAGCCCTTCACTCAAATTAGGAATCAGGAGGTGGGGAATTCCCAGAGAAAGTACTACCCGAAATGACCGGTAGGAGAGAAATGGGATGAAAATGGCGTGGGGTGGGGAGGGGGAAGTGTTGAAAGCCATCCAGGTAGAGGGAACAGCATGGATAATGGTCCAGAATTTACAGACATGTGGCCCATCCAGGTGACTACAAATAATTTGCTAAGTCTAATATATGTTGAACATATGGGAGTAGTGAGCAATGAGAATCAGGAGGTAGACAGTGGCTAGGTATTATGGATTGAATTGTGTCCCCCTAAATTCATGTAACCCCTAATGTGACTGTATTTGGCAACAGGGCCTTTAAAGATGTTATTACAGTTAAATTAGATCATTAGGGTGGGGCTTTAATATAGCAGGACCGGCGTCCCTATAAGAAGGGGAAGAGACACTAGGAGTGTGTAAGCATAGAGAAAATGCCCATGTGAGGACACGTAGAAGGATGGTCATCTGCAAGCCAAGGAACGAGACCTCGGGAGAAACCAAAGCTGTCAACAACACCTCGATCTTGAACTTGTAGCCTCCAGAACTGTGAGAAAATAAATTTCTGTTATTAAAGCCATCCAGTGTGTGGTATTTTGTTATGGAAGCCCTAGCAGACTAATACACCAGGTAATGAAGGGATGTGCATGTGCAGCTTTATTCTCGTGGCTGTGAGACATCACTAAAGGGCTTTAAACAAGAGTGTGACATAGCTGTGTTCTAGAGGAATCACACTGGCTGCTTTTGAGATCGTATTGGAAGAGGAGGTGAGAGAAGAGGCAGGCCCATAATTAGGAGGCTCCTGCAGTGGTCTAGGTGGGGGATGATAGTACCTGAAATAGAATGGTAACAGTGGGGGATGGACAGATGTCGATGGATTTAAGGCATGTTAATGGCAATGAGGGGCAAAAGGACTGGTGTGTGTGTGTGTGTGTGTGTGTGTGTGTGCGTGCGCGCGTGCGTGTGTCCGTGTGTGTGCATGTCGTGTGTCTTGTGTCATGTGCTGTGTGCTAGGCTCTTGGGACACACAGGACAACCAAACATGGCTCCACTCTAGTTCCTTCCTGGATACAGCAGTCAGCCCAATACTTGCCTTGACATCTCCTCGATAGCTCTTCATCACTGGGCACTTCTCCGAGAACTGTGTTACAGCACTCTCCGCCCCACCACCCACTTACTCTATACTGTATGGCTCTTCTCTTGGGTTGGACAAAGGCAGACAAATCTGGCTCATTCCTGGCCAAAACAGTAACAGTAATGTGGCTACTCTTCTTACCTTGAGTGAAAGCCCAAGGAAGCTTTTGTTTTTCTCATTGAATCCAAAGGTCTGAAAAGAAGATATGGACTGCCACTGCACTGGGAGGCCCCCTCTCTCCCGGGCTGGAGGAGGCCTGACATTCAGTCAGTAATGAAGTGAACAAAGGTCAGTGTGAGATAAGGCCCTACCTCTAATCTTGTCTCTTAATGGAGGGCAACTGGTGATGTTGTAAAGACAAAGGTTGTCTTTGGCCTTCCCTCTCGTACCACTTGGGGCTCTCTGTCCCCGTTTCGGAGTGTCTCTCCCAGACACCCAGCAACCTCATTCTGCCGCATGTGTCTGCGTGCCCTCAACCTCCACATAGACTGGCCTTCCCTGGTCAGTACCATGTGTCTCTGGGCAGCTAGGAATTTGAATGCTAATGGAGTAGAAAGCTGAGTTGTGTTATGCATGTTCTACAGAGCCTTTCAGACTGAGGCCATTGGATAAACATTAAACACTGGCTTTAGCAGCTCCCGGAGCAGTTTGCTGTGATGTGTTCCTCAGCACGTCTGTCTGAGGCCCGTGCCTGTCAGCGCCCTGCCACTGAGAGGGAGAGTGAGAGCTTGCTGCTGTGGAGGGTGCCCACTCCTCTGCCGTGCGCCCCCTCTTTGGATCTCCATAAACACTATCGCTCTTGTACAGCAGCTGTCTGTGTGAGCTGGTCCTATGGAGCACGGTCCCCCAGGAAATAAGCTGGGGCTGGCTGAGGAAGAGGAAATGAATTCATTTCAGTATAGCACTCCTATTTTGACCAAGTCTGAAGTCAGTGACCCAGAAAAAACAAAGCTGGCAGAAATGACGTTCTAATTATCTCCGCTCTGAGAGCTGAGGCCAGGGCAGGGGCCGGGGACGGCACACACCTGGCAGGAGTCAGAGAAGGACATGTTTTGGACTCTGTTCTCTGCTGTCAAGGCTGCCTCTGAGATAAAGGCTGGTAGTTGGAAGATAAGCCGTTAAATTCTCCAACTTGCCCAACCCGATTTGAGTCAATACCATCGGTGTCATGTTTATTAGATTTAATATTGCCTCAAAAATACACCAGCCATTGTGTCTGTTTGTTTTCCTTTCTGTCAAATAAGTCACCCTCTGGCAGTTTCCTGTGACTAAAGTGGCCTTTGTGCTTCTGAAACAGTTCTGAAACACTTTCTGTACTAGCTACACAGAATCCCTTTAATTCCCATTTGATTTGGCTGCGCAGCTTGTCTATGAAATCTGCTCAAATGAAAGATGCATGGCTACTTAGTAGTCCAAGGTCTGCCTGTTCACAAACTGGACCTTTTCCCCTCTCTTAGGTTGTCAGTTCCTTTTATATCCTTCTCATGTCCAATACTCCCATTTCCAGGTAATTTTTCAAGGAGCTGGTGCTTTATACCCACACAACAGAAGCACTATATTAACTACCGAGGCATTTCCATACCACACAACATATGGAATGGAGTCCTTGAGCAGGTTCTAGCAGTCAGAGTCAGCATCTATCAGTTGCAGAGAGACCCTGGAATTCTGTGTCACCAAGGTAGGGCTAAGGTTAATCCCTGAGGGTTGCTGACATTTATCCAACTGGTTTCTGGGGAGAAATAAACATTTCTTTTGGGGGGGGGGAGCAGAAAGGGATGTACGAGCAGCAGAGAAGCTCTGGAATCTCTGCCTAGTGACCCGGCCTACAGGCAAACCATTTGGCCTAATTTGTGGTGGTTGCCCCACCTTGTAAAAATACATTAATTTGTCTGAAATGTCACAACATATTTATGCTAAACTAGCATTGAAGGTCATTTGTGTAGCCACCAGCTGGTGGAATGTGCCCATCTCCTGACCACATTCCCTGAGAGGTATCCCTGAGCAGAAAGGAGCTCTTGGTCTGGATGTCAAGCCTTGACAGCCCTGTGGCTTCCTCTGCTAATTGAAACTTTGCCTTGAAGGGACTTGACTCTCAGGTCAACCAGTCCCGTGGTTGGTTTAAAGATCCAGCTAATTGTGAGCCCAGTTAACAGTATATAAAGCAGCAGAGTCCTAGAGGGGAAAAATCCATATGTAAAAACAATATTTATTTATTTATTTTGAGAGAGAGAGACAGAGAGAGAGAGACTGTGTGTGTGTGTGTGTGTGTGTGTGTGTGTGTGTGTGTGAGTGTGCGCAACTGGGAGAGGGGCAGAGAGAGAGAGGGAGAGAGACAGAGAATCCCAAGCAGGCTCTGCACTGACAGTACAGAGCCCGATGTGGGGCTTGATCCCACGAACCATGAGATCACGACCCGAGCTGGAATCAAGAGATGGACGCTTACCTGACTGAGCCACCCAGGCACCTCTGTAACAGCAGTATTAAATATGAGCCCTCAGTGAGACTAAAGTAGGAAATTCCTCAATTATAAGCTTAATCCAACGCTGTTAGACACAGCATTGTGTACTTGGGCTCTCTGTATTGAAGACTGAAGGCCAGCTCCTTCCTGTACTCTGTGTAACCCTAGGCAAATGAGGTTCCCTCTAGGGGCCTCTGGTTTTGTTATCTGCAACAAGGAAAAGAAGCTAACGACGGTGTCTCTGAGAGTTACTGCATGGATTAAATGAGATAGTGATACTAGGTGCTCAGTGCAGTGCCTGGACAAAGTAAGGGATGGTAATTGGGATTAATATTAATACTGGTTTCAAAGTCATAGATCTTTAGAGCTAGAAGGAACCTAGTTCACGCAGCATTCAATGCAGTTCCCTTTCAGTTCTGTTTACCAGAATTCAGCTGCCCATATAACGTCTTTATGAATTTTGCCTCACCCATCCACCACTTGCAC